GTACCTATTTATGTACTTGCAATGTCTTGCTTTCGAACTGCTCGGTTGGCAGGAGCTGGAAGTAGAGACGGGAGCTCACTCCGTCATGCGGCACACTCGGGTCTTGAACTCCTGAACTACTGACCTTCCACAGCCTGCAGTTCAGCGCCTTAACCACTTGAGCCACCACAGCTCCTTATTACTGAACAATTACTGAACACCCCCTTCTTATTACTGAACAATTAAAAGCCTGACTTTTCTTCTCTCCACTCTCGTATCGGGTGTTGAGCCTTTTAGCCCCATCATGCAAGCGGAGAAGCCCCGCGGCTTCAAAGGTGTTCCTTTCAGTAGCTCTTTTAGGGGTTGAAAACTCTGGCAAGAGATGGGGTGTGGGGGGGGTCCTGCTCCCTTCCGGCTCTTTTGTCCTGAGCTGCATGTGCATCCAACCTGGCTCTGAAATGCTTTGAACAGAAATATTTTGGCAATGCAAGTAAGCTTCATGATCCTCCTGACTCTAGAGATCCAATACTAGCCAAAGTAGGAAAGCGTGCATTTTACTGATTTACTGAGAGCCAGTTTGGTGTAGTGGTTAAGTGTGCAGACTCTAATCTGGGAGAACCGGGTTTGATTCCCCACTCCTCCACTTGCACCTGCTGATGTGACCTTGGGTCAGTCACAAGCTCTGGCACAGCTGTCCTTGAAAAGGAGCAGTTTGTGTCAGAGCTCTCTCAGCCCCACCTACCTCACAGGGTGTCTGTTGTGGGGAGGGGGAGGGAAAGGAGTTTGTAAGCCGCTCTGAGACTCCAAGTGAAGGGCGAGGTATAAATCCAATCTCTTCTTCTCTTCTTCTTCTGTTTTTAGAACCTTCCCTTTTTCACTTGTAAATGCCACAGACATTCTGATTTCCTTTTTTATAATAAGATGTTTGGGTCATTCTGTACTTGTGGTAAGGCACCTCCCTTGCATAGTCCCTTTCCAGGATGTATTTCTGTAAAGACAGTTAACTATGAAATGTGCTAAAGCCCTGGATCCAAAGTCAGAAAAGGACAGAGAATATCGAAGGTGCTTCCAATGAGCTTGGGATACCAGCTTGGAAGGTGGCAGTCGTGGACAATGTGAATTCATATCTTTCTGAACACTCAACAGTTCTGGCTTGCACGGAGTCTAGAACCACTGGTGTGAACTGGATTAACTCAACCAGGATCAAGGAGGATTGGTCCAAATTTGCTAGAAGCTGTAGGGCTCCCAGAAATGCCCAACAGTATCCCAAAGAGAGGAACTTTTCCTGCGGCATGCTTTGGGGCCCAGAGAACTGGACAAGAAGCCCTTACTGCCGACATCCACACAAGCAACCAAATGCAGATTAATCTGTGCTGCTGTGTTTCCCATAGCAACCTACGGCTGCGAAAGTTGGACCATGAAAAAGAAAAGACAGGAGGAAAATCGACTCATTTGAGCTGTGGTGCTGGAGAAGGCTCTTGCACATTCCTTGGACAGAAAAAGAGACAAACAAGCAGGTATTGGAACGCATAAAACCAGACATGCCATTGGAAGGAAAAATCACAAAACTGTGACTGACTTATTCTGGCCACGTCATGCTGAAGAACTCACTAGAAAAAGCAACTGTGCTTGGATTGGTTAGCGGCAAAAGGAAACGGGGCCGCCAAATAACACAGTGGCTAGAGACCGTAAAAGTCGACACCAGCCTGAGCGTGGAACGACTCAAAGAAATAGTACAAGACCAGAAAACGTGGAGAGAGCTGGGCCACAGAATCGCCAAGGGTCGGACATGACTGAATGGCTAACAGCAACAGCAACAGCCTGAAGGAAAGGTAAATACAACTGTTCTACTTTGGAATTTCCTGTTCTGGCAAATTCTGGAGAAGGCTCCTGAACATCAACTGCCCCGGTACACACACTAGTGAATGATTAACCCTGTAGCCATTTCTGAAGGCGTGACTACAGGCATTCCGGTATGCACATCCTCCTGCCGTTCTTTATGACCTTTAAAACTGGTGCTTACATTGCGGCTCTCTGTCCCTGGAACAGTCGGCTATAGTCTTCTTTCAGCCCCATCACGTAATGCACAGCTTCAGCCCATATCTTACGAAGTCGTAAAATGGGCAACTGAATTTTGCTGTCCTGCACTGTGTGGAAGGGGGAAAAGGAAAAAAAAAACAGCCATTACTATTACATATATTCACTGCCATGGCAGTTCCATTCAGTAAATCGGTGTATCCAAGACAGCCAGTTTAGTGCAGTGGTTAAGAGCGGTGGACTCTAATCTGGAGAACCAGATTTGATTCCCCATTCCTCCTCCACAGGCAGCCAGCTGGGGGACCTTGGGTTAGTCACAGCTCTCTCGGAGCTCTCTCAGCCCCACCTACCTCACAGGGTGTCTGTAGTGGGGAGAGGAAGGGAAGGAGATTGTAAGCCGCTCTGAGACTCCGAGTGAAGGGCGGGGTATAAATACAACAACAATAACTCTTCCTCCTTCTTCTTCTCTTCCACATGGCACAATCTGGGGATACTCACTGGAGCCATTAACAGACAAGACAGATCTTTCAACAAAACTGAAAAGGCCCCAGGTTGGCAGAAAAATGTGAAAGCTTTAAAATAAAATCACTTGGGGGTTAAAACACCCCAAAATGATAGAAGCAGTGCCTGTAGCTTCAAGAAATGAATGCCCTTTCAGTGCCCTTTGTGGGGGTTGCTAGGCAACCACAACAGTATTGCCAGCCTTCAAGCCTGGGTTTCTGTCATTGAAAGGCAGATGTGGAGGAGACCTCATTCCATGGCTGTTTTGGTCACTGAGGGAGGATTCATTGGGGCCAGGAAACAGCAACCATCATGCGACTGGCTACCACTTGAGCTGCAGGACTTGCCCAGGCTTGGCTGCTTGCTAGTGGTCAACAGCAACCACCCCACGAAAGCCAGTGTGCTGTAGTAGTTTCAATTTCAGACTATGGGAGACCTCAGACACACACAGTGAAGAAAGGCGGGGTACAAATGAAGTAAATCAAATTTAAATATAGCTGAAGATAGAGGGCAGATAAAAGGCAGGTTGGGTTGATGGGGGGGAAGGAGAATAGGAAGCAGGGGAAAGTGAGGGTATGGGGGGCTTATGCTTAAGGCGATAGCTGTATGAGCAGTACTAGATAGACAAACAGATAGATGATAAAATAGATGGATGGACAGACAGATGATGGATGGA